AAAGGACCAAACACTGTCTCCTAACAACACTAACATAACGTGAATGAAATGTTACAAATGCAAAATGTTTTATAACCACGTGTTTCTGGGAAGGACTCTCCAGTGAGCATGTGAGCTGCGTGAGGATGGAAGGGTGTGTTCTACGTACATGTCGCCATGACTGGTAGAGAAGGAACCCTGCAGCTATTGAGTGAATGAATGAAGGATGAATGAATGAATGAGACAAGAAGAAATGTCCTTTGCCCTAGCTCTACCTAACTTTGGAGTATAGCTAGGTTTCGTACTACATGTTCAAAAGATAAGTAATTACCCCATTTGTATCAGAAACCAAATTTTCCGTGTATCCCTCGACAACTCCCTGCTTTGAGGACGGCACTGTGATCACAGGAACGACAGGTCCTGGCTGCACCTGCAGAAGGACTGCACGTCTGGGCGGAGCATCTACGGGTTTGTCTGCGCCGGGCCACCTCCTGGTCCCTCGCCCCGCCCCCCTGCATGCAAACGTGCCTCTTCTTCGGAAGACTTGCTCCTCCCTTACTTTTCATCTTCTCCTTCTAAGTGGGGCCACCAATCCCAAAACCCAGGTCATGGGGATCTGTGATCACACCTAGGTGCACAAACAGTCCTCTTCATGATCTTTAAAACCAACACTAAAGGAAAATAAGTGCCTTGCTCTCAAAAGAACCTCCTGAAGGAAGCAGATGAGAAAGAATCGTTTTAGTCAGAACGTGGAGGGTGGAGAAACAAGGGACGTCGTCCCAGGTCCTGGCTCCAGCTGTCACTGATGCCGGAGCGCTCTGCACCTCCCTAGCTTAAGCTGGGGTTTGTTTACAGAACATGAGAGTCTCTCCCCTGCAGAAGAGCTGTCCACCTCCCAACGAAAGCAACATCCACGTCCTTCCAACAACTACGTGCAGCAAGGACTCGGCTTATTTTGCAGGTAGGGAGCCAGAAGCTCAGGACTGAGAAGAAGCATGCGCCAAGTCATCCGACGAGTGTCCAAGCTGTGACTTAAAGACGGTCACCCAGGTTCCCAGATGCGACCACCGGCCTTGCCTTCCTCTTCCTGTGCTGTTCTTGGGGCCTCCTGCACACCCAGTGGGGCTCAGGGACCCTAGACGATATGCCGTAAGTGCAAGTGCTCTCTTCGTCATTAGCAGAGATGCCATTGATCTTAGTTAACTCCTGCGGGTGTTACGGGCTTCAGTTAAATAACTCAGTTAAATAACAAAGTGCCCTGAGAATGTAAACAGGCACTGTTTTTATAGCACACTCTCACACACGGGTCTCTGGCAATGTCAGTAACAAGAAACCCTAAAACAAGCACTTTAAAAAAGTGATCGAAAGAAAACCTGTACATAAAGACTTGGTTATCAGTCGTTTAAATGAACATTAAATGTTTGCTTTAGACACCACGCTGTGATTGGTAATTCAGAAGTGAGTTTCCTCAAAAGACCTTAGGTTAAATCAAAAGACAAAGCATTTCCAGAAAACTGAAGTGCTCTACTTTTTCGCATGTCCTTTAGATTTGGGGGTGGGTGCATCTTTGGCCTCAGCACGTGCTTATTGATCTAACATGGCCATGATCTCCTGGGTCGGTTACTGTCGCAAACCTGAGAAGAACCATGAAACTTAGAAAAGGACAAAAGCAGACACAAGCAAACCAAAAGATGATGGATTTGTTTGCAAAACTAATTTCCCCAGAAGAAAAATAGACATCCCCTGCAGCATAGGGGTGAGCTCAGACTCGGTTTTTATATTAGCGACTTATTTAATATGGCAGTGGGCACGAGGCAATCCATTAAAAAGCAATTTCCCGCTTACCACAAGGTGTTTCATCATCTGACATCTAGTACTCAATCGGAGTGGAGTAGTCCCTTAATGTTTTATGAGCAGAAAACAGCTCGTGTGGGCACGTTGACTCCAGACACACAGGAGCCTTTTGTTAGCCTTGCAAGATGTCCAGAACGACTTTTGCAATAGACACTGAGCAACAGGTTGACCTGAAAACTTAAACTACCAAAACACTGCAAAAATTAGGCTTTAGAACTGGTAACAGGCATTTAAATACATATGTATGCACAAGCATACACACACATATGCATATTCATACAGATACATACATATATATACACAAGCATATATATATATATATGTGCATATATATATACACATAAAATGACTTACAACTAATAGGAAACATCAGTCCCAACTCGTTCACATACTTTCTGACGTGGACGTTTCTTGGGCACAGGGACCATATCTCATTCCCCTTCGTGCCTGCAGGTCCCTCACAGTCCCTGGCACACTCTAAGTAGTCAACAGATTGTTACGGAACAGATAAGTAAGTGTGTTTGTTGTCTTGGGTGAAGAGGGCCTGCCACCCGTACGTCAGGCCCCAACTGTCCAAGCTCAGCCTCACCGCAGAGACCGGGCCTGGCCAGGGCCTGAGCGACAGGGGCAGAACGTTGACAGTCGCCTTTCCAGTAGAAATCGGGGCGTGGGAGCCCCTCCGGGGCTCTTGACCTTGGGGTGCCCCCAGAGTTCCCCGGGTCTCTGCCTTCATCCCCACTCTGCCATCTCAGCCCACACGAGCTGCCTTGACTGCCAGGTTCTCCAAAGGCCGGGAGGGCTGCTCGACACCCCAACCCCCCGACTTCTGAACTACAGAGCCTACACTTCCCTGAGCAGCACCGTCTGCTCAGGAGCCGCCCCCGCCCTCCAGCAGGGGGCGCTCCCTGATCCACATGCACATGCCCTGTCCTCACACTGCCTGGAATTTGACCATCTTTCCCAAGTTGGTGCCCTTGGGGTGAATATTATCTGTTTCCCAAGTACTTCCTTAACTCCTAAACTGCAATTTCAGCCACTGAAGTTACCTACCATCAGGCCAAAAGGAACACAACCACAGCCCTCCTCTGCTTAAGGACGGAAAAACGTTTTGAGAAACGTGTCACTGGGCAATTTTCTCACTGAGAGCATCAGAGTTCACTTACACAAGCCTAGATGGTCTAGCCTGCTGCACACCTCCGCGACGCCGTGCAGCCTACTGCTCCCAGGCTACACGCCTGTACAGCACGTGTCTGCACAGCGCGATGCGAGAGTAAATCAGGCACCAGAGGAAATGATGCAATCAGGAGACTCAGTAAATAAATAAGATGCATGAGGCTGCAGCCGGCGTAACACTACATTCTACAAAGCACAGTAAATACACTGTACAATAGTATGAAATGCGGGGTGGTAGGAGTACAGTGAAGTTGTGTGTTACCCAGGGCATAAAGGCGGCACGTGGCAGAGAGAGAACCGAGATGCCCTTTCTTCCCAACCTCCTCCTCGTCCTCCACTGTATCTCTGTTCCACGTTAATGCGGAACATTAGAGACACGTGTCTGTTGGACGGGAAAGAGCAGGAAGCTGGGGACAGCAGTCAAAGCAAAACAGAGGGTCTCGTCTGCAGGCACCAGGGTGAGCGCTGGGAGCCCAAGCAGGCCCTTGGGAGGACGGGATGAGGGCAGGGCAAGGAAAGGACCCCTTGGGCTATGACCGGCACCTGAGATGTGCCAGCCGCGTGGAGCATGACAGGTCTCTGGGTTCTGAAGATCTCAGATGGTTGGCGGTGCTTGCCAGCCAGTGACTTCCCACAGTCTCCCCCCTAAAACTGCGACTGACGCGAAACAGACACAGTTATCCGACTAAGGAAACCAGCAGAATTGGTCTGAGTCAGGACCTTGATCCTCCCGCTGAATGCACGGTAAGCCAAACAGCAGACATAAATCTCAACAAGGTGGTCTAAGGTGGAGGGGGAGGGAGAACCCGCACCCAGGCTCCAGAGTAACTGAGAGGTTAGCGTCGGTGAGCCGAGACCCGAGGAGCTGGACGCAGAAATCTCCCAGGTCGGGTTGCTACGCCAGCCACGCAAAACGCCCGGAGCTGGGCTCCTCGGTAATGAACTTCAGCTTCTTTCCCCCCAACACTGGAGGAGGGTAACGTCGGCTGTGCTTCTGAACACACGGGCCCAACTTCTTCGTGTCTTCCTCACCAAGTTCTGAATTTTCTCATTTACCTTAGCTGTGCTGCAGCCAGCTCTGCACTGTAAATAAAACATTACCCCCTTTTCCAATTTCATCGTTGGGTTTCTTCCCGTTCGTCACTTCAGACCATTATTTTAAGCTCTCAAGCAGGTGACTGAATATTTATGCTCCCACAATAACTCCAAACACCCAGCGTTCCCCCGGTACAAACAGTGTTCTCCGGCGCCCACGCGGGGAAGCCCACGGGGAAAGATTTCATGTGTGTGCGTCAGTGCCACCAATGTCGGGGGGACAGGAAGGCAGCCTGTCGGCCAGCTTCCACCCGATTCGCTGTGACAGGTTAAAGCCAATTATGCCAATGAGCAAAAGGCAAGAACATCATTATGCCCTCTTTTTCTGGGTGTCCTCTCCCACACTGGTAACAAAAGGAAGAAAAAGAGCAATAAGTGTATCTCTGAGAGCACATTTCTCCCGGTCAGCTCCCCGTTTTCTTCAACAATTCCTTCTTTCTTAGAGAAAGCATTTTAAACCCGTGCGATACTGGGCGAGATTTCATTAAGGTATTCCATTTTTTTTTTCTTTATTGGAGAAAAGTGGTTTCAGACGCAAGAAAGGAAAATGATCTACTGGTACGTGAAAATGCAGGCATTTGGAAAAGAAATTCATAGGCCGTCTTCCTAACCGAGTATTAAATGCAAGGCTGTTGGAATACATACTCACTGTTATAAGACCTGAAGTGCCGTCACAGGGCCTGCCCATTTTCCCCTTCTCACAGATTTTAATAACATCCCTTCCCGGAGCAGACGTGCAGAAATACACATGCTGCAACCCTGGGCCAAAGGATGCCCAGCCCACTTGGTGTCAGGGAGCGGCGGCCAGCACTCCGGGAGCCGCCGGTGCAGGTCGGGCACAGCCCCGCGCCCCGCCCCGCCCCGCCGCGCCTGCCCGTGCGAGAAACGGGGGTACTTACGCAGCTCGCCCACTTTCAGGGTCTCGCACAGCATCTTGGTCAGCTCTATGCTGCTGCGGCCGAAGGGGCACTCGTGCTTGTCCTCCCGGCTGCTGTTCTCGAGCACGATCTGGGAGCAGAGAGCGGACAGGTCACGCGGGGGAGCGCATTTGGGCGGAACGTCAAAGACCCTGTGGGCTCCGTGGGACAGCAGCAGGTCCCCTCCAGCTCACTCAACCGAGGGGCCGGACAGGACTCTCCTCTAGGTATATCCTCAGGCTAGAGGCCCTGAAACTCTTACGGTTTCCTGATCTCCCGCAGCCTTCTGAGACCCTGGAGGAGGAGGTTTGCATGGTGGTGGTGGTGGTGCCTTACAGAGACGCCCAGGGAGAGCTCTTCAAAGCAGCACAATAGAGACGTTTTTACTTCGGTGATGCAATCACTGTCTTGGCCCCTCAGCCATGTCCTCCCTTTCCCGGGAAGAGCAACTCTTCTTCCCGGACTTCCAGCCCAGGCTTCCCGTGGCAGCCGCCTCGTCCTTACGGGATCGCAGCCCTGGCCTTCGCTGGCTGGGCCACACCCGAGGGACATGGGACACAGACTGGACCGACCAGAGTGCTCCCCTAGGACAGATCACAGGCAAGGGGGAGGCTGGCCCAGCCGTGCGGACGGCACACGGCGGGTGTGAGTGCAGGAGCTGCCTGAGTGCTAGCCCACGATGGAAAAAGTTCAAACACGAAAGACAAAGTGGGAAGAGAATCAGAGAGGAGAGGAGTGGGGCGGGGGGGGGCCCTGAGTGGCTGGTCCCACTCGTTCCCCAAGCAAAGCTCCTTCCCTGCCCTTCCCCCGTCCACTGAGAACCCTGTGGTCTACCTCGTCGATTCTCCTGGTTCCTTGTTCCCACTACGACTAAGAAAGGCCTTCCCCCTATGCCTTCAACAAAAGTAAAATAAAACAACAAAATTCTAGATTAAAGTCGCTAAACTTGACATTCACATGTTCACGAAAGGGATCCCCAGCTTATCCACCTTTGACGCCACCTCCGCCTTCCCGGGGGACTGTCTGGGACCTGGAGAGCCACGCCCACCGTGTCTGCAATAATGCGGCACGCCCGCTTGTGTGGTTCCCCCCCGTAGACTATGAACTCTTCGATGGCAGGAATGGAACCACGTTTATTCATCCAACCACCAACAATAATAACTGAACACCTATTATCTACCAGGAAGATGCCCAGGCCCCATCCAGTGGAGCACCAGACAGACCAGGGTTCGGCCTCATGAAGGAACATTCATTCTGGTCTAGGGAGACAGTAAGAACAGAGGCGATCACAGTTCACCCAGGTGCCGAGGCCGAGGAGGTAAAGAGGAAGGGCAAGGCCGGGGTAGGGAAGTTCAGACAACAAGGTGAGCACTGGGAAGCCAGGGACGAGGAAGAGCTTGTAGGTAGGGTCTGGGAGAGGGAACATCCCAGGCAGAGGGGTCAAGCAGAGAGCCCTGAGGTGAGTAGGACGTGTTTGGCGCGGGCCAGTACACGGCCCGGCTTGGCGCGGGCCAGTACACGGCCCGGCATGCAGCGGGGAGGGTCCTGGGGGTGTGCAGGGCCGCAGTTTGGAGGCCGCGGGAGTCCGAGCAAGCCAGGAGCCTGCGAGGGAGGCCACAGCCACTGCCCCCGGGCCGTGTGAGGGTTATTCTAAGACTCTGACAGGCTAGCCCTGAGGTTTAGACAGGTGAGTGGTGTGACCTGGTTTGTTTTAAAAAGATGTATGTGTGTGGCGAGTGCTCCGCGGGGAGGCGGACAGAAAGCACTGTTCTTCTGGAGAGCCTGGGCCGTGTCCCCGGCAGAAACGAGGGCAGCTCGGGCTGGGCCTGCACAGTCCCGCAGCACAGTGTCGTAAGTAATCACAGAAGGCAGGAAGACTCCCAGGAGACACTGAAGGAAGAATGCTCGGAGGGCGGGAGGAAGAAGGAAGGAGAAGGGAAACAGGGAAGAAGGGCAAGTAGAAGAAGGTACTATTTGTCTGACACACACGTTTCTAAATAGTGAAGAAATGTGGGGGAGATCAGTGTGGCTCGAAATGTTCAAAGCCAGAGAAGCAGGATTTCAATGAAAACACACTCCCATTGTTCTCTGCATAAACTCCATGCCCATAATGCACGCGTGCTCGCACGTGCGCACACGCACACACACACACACACACACACACACACACACACACACAATTATCTGCATTGACAGGCCCCCAGGAACAAATCAGCCCTTCCCAAAGGGGGACGTTCCTTCCAGCACGGCATCTACACCTAGCCATAACGACAACCGACCCTTGCATTTTCAGCCTCCTTGCCCACTTGCGGCATCGTGGCTGTTTCTGCAGACTTCAGTGCGATCACTTTATCGCCCTCGTGATTGTCCGAGAGGTCGATGAACCATCCCAAGTCTGCAACGTCTGCTGCGATGCATAACCATGCACTGCATGTCACCACGCACGTGCCCTTTACTGTCCTTGGGATTTATGAGAAAAACTCCCCCTTGCAGTCACTTCGGGAAACACAGGTTTTGGCTGGTTGGTTTTTACTCCCATGAAGTGCCTTCTCCTGCCAACGAGAGAATAACTCCTGAGGGATCCTTAAAAGTTCTGTTCCCGCCCTGGCTGGTGTGGCTCAGTGGATTGAGTGTGAGCCTGCAAACCAAAGGGTCGCTGGCTCGATTCCCAGCCAGGGCACACGCCTGGGTTGCAGGCCAGCTCCCCAGTAGGGGGTGTGCAAGAGGCAACCTCACATTGAGTTTCTCTCCCTCTCTTTCTCCTTCCCTTCCCCCTCTCTAAAAATAAATAAAACCTTTAAAAAAAAGTTCTGTTCCCTCCTCACGGTCCCTTCTGGACAATCTGCCAAGCACGGAGTCTCATTTGACGGAGACTGAATCACCCTCCTCCTTCCAGAAGAATCCTTCCAGGTTGCAGCCAGGAATGCCAAGTCAGGACAGCAGGAGGGGGGAACAATTAAATTCCCAGCCACCAGGGAATCCTTATTTCTCTTTTAAAAATCGAGTCTCTGCCACAGCCATACACACGTATCAGGGAGCCCATCTCCCGATGAGGGGAAATGGATGGAGAAAACAGAGCAAGAAGACAGAGCATGAAAGACAGGAGACAGGTAGCTTCCAGCCAGCTCCCCGGGAGGACATTCGCCTGCATTTCACATTAACATCCTATTAACATTTCATGAGCTCATCAATATTTAACGAGGCTGTGATCTGCATACACTGTAGGTAGAATTACTGCCGCCAATAAATGTTCTGGAGACATTTCCAAGGCACAGTTTATTAGCAGGCACTAAATTAAGGAGTAATTTAAGTAATCAATATGTAAATCAGCCTGGAGAAACCCTACTCTTTATTCTTTAGGTTACCATCCGTCTTATCATATTTACCTGCCTCCGGGAAAAGAAACCCTCCTCCTTGACTGATAAGGCAGACGCAAATTCTCCAAGTCACCTGTGTAGGTTTTCAGGCCAACGTTGGCACAGAAATATTTTAGGAAACACTACGATGATGAATGTTACTAATTAGATATTAATAACGAGAAATAAGTCTTAAACTGGTTAGTAGCTTGTTTTAAAATTTAACACACTGCTATTTCCATATTCAATTCCAACAGTCTGGCATCAACCATGTTCACCTAAGACATTTTGAAAAGTTCCGTTTAGAAATATCAAGGCCTATTTTTCATCTTTATTTTTCCCTCACTCTTCAGCTTGAAGAGCAGACACAATGGAACAACAGCCACAACAGAGACAGCACTAAAACTTGCTATTATCACTCATCACCGAACACGCTGCACACCTAGAGAAGCTGTAACCATCTGCATGTTTCATAAAATCAAATACTGGGTATTTGTGCAATATTAGGTATAACACATACAAATACTTCACAGTTCACAGGGTATATATACATGTATCTATCAACCGATCCCCAGTAAGTCCGTAAGACTGATAAGGCAGGTATTTATTATTCTCCTAGAAATGTTGAACCACAAGGAAGAGCTGGCCTAGGTCAGTCCTATCCTAGAATTCAGTTTCTAAAGTCTTCCATTCCCAAACCTCTCCCTGCCCCATTATAGCAGACAATTGTCGTCACGTACATGCTGCCATAAAACTCAATCGGTTTCAAGTCAAAGAGGCTAAGAGAAATTTGATTAACGTCCTCTGTCTCACTGAAATGAATCAACAAATCCCAGAGCCTCCTGGACAAAGGTATACGGTTCTGTCTTATCTCATTTATCCCTGAAGATGAGCAACGATCTCTCAGGGTGAGTGACCAAAAGCTGTTGTGAACTGTCCGCACAGGCTTTATTTCCATAAATACTGAGTTCCCGTCGGTGCCCATCACAAACCTATTTGACTTGGGCGTGACCACTAAATGCTGAGTACCAGGCCGGATGCGCTCTGCCGCTGCCCCTTCTCTGACCCCCAGGGCCACCTGCTCGCTCAGCCTCTCCCCATCACGTCGCTGGCTGTATTCAGTAGCTAATACACTTTCCTCCACTTCCGCTGAGCGCTCCCCACCTGGGGCAAGGCCAGCCCTCGGCTCTCCCTGTATCCACCCCCGGGTGAGCCCTGAGGGCTCCCTCTATCGCCTCTCGTCTATGGGGGCGTCTTTGTCCTGTGGCTTTGACTCTGAGGATCACCTGAAGCAACTTCACATCCCGGTGACTATTCTGTAACCACCGTTCTGCGCTTTTCAGTGCGTTCACCTCTTTTACACCCAGCCCTCCAAACACTGCTCCCCTCTGCCAACCACTGGTTTGCTCCCTGGATCTACGAGTCTGTTTCAGTTGTGTTTGTGTGTTTACTGAGTTCTCCCCAGACAGAAGGGGTTTCCCGTCTCGCCCCACTTCCGTCACGAAGACACGGGAGAAGCACGGACGCTGTGAAGAGTCAGGGCTGAAGCAGGGTGAGGTCCCGTGTCACAGGACTGCCGTGTGTGTGAAATCACAGCACTAAAGCCAAGAGCCTAACACAGAGCCCCAAGGTGGCGCTTGTTACCCCTCTATTGTCCTTCCTCTTCCTTTTCCTGCACGGCCAAAGCCAATACTAGGTGCAAACTTTCACCGGCCACCGAACCAAGATCACGGCC